AATTTTTTCATGTGCAGTTTTTTCGCGTCTGAACTAAAACAAGACGAACTCCTTGATTTTTCTCGAATACGTAAAAGTGTAAAATATGAATTCCCTCCAATTTCATAGGCATAAAAAATTCTCGAGTTGAAGAATGAATAATTTTCTCACCAACGGAGCTAGCATTTCCAACGCTATTTCTCCCGGGTGTAGCTGCAGGTGTCGGTGGACTAGCCTCAAGCCCCTGATGCACCCCATAAAGTCCAAAATCCTGTTCATTCGAGCTAGTACTACTGCACTTTCTCTTCTCCTGATTGTGATTAAGATGAAATGTGTCATTATCAACGAGTCCAACTCCAAGGAGTCCTAGATTCGGCCTCAGCTCATCCATGAGCTTGTTCTGTCCACAATTGGCTGCCGCAGCTGAGAAATTCAACTGTCGGCTGAATATAGCCGGAAATATGTTGAACTGTTGATGATCCAGACTAAGGGTTGTCGGTAGGGATCCACCCACCGATGTACCACCGACGGAACCAACACCGCCACCCGGGCCACTGCCAGACAAATCGTTAGCCAGGATGATGCCGGATGGTTCTTGGTGATGATCTATCCGAGGACTGTAGTCGTTACTTCTTTTATCAAAAAATTTATGAAGACATCGTCTTCAATCAGTGCAATCCTTTCCAACCAACGAACTTCAACCTGCCTTTCACCTTCTTCGTCAGCTTCCTGATTTGTATTTAATCAAGTCAATACGCCTCAATTCAACGTCTCCCTTAAATCCATCAAACCTCTTCTTTTCAGATCCAACAATTCGTCCTGATTAGTCCTTACTCGATATCAGAGATGCTCCACTAAATGAACGCTGAGGTCTCAATCAGATCGAACCGAAATAAATAATTTAAACTCAATTCACAAACACTTAATACCCATTAATCAACTCCTCACTATAAAATCCTTTAGAATCCACAGTATCACAATCACTCTCTACCGTCACTGGATAACCGAACGAAAACTCGAAAAAATGAAAATAAAAGAGAAAAAATAAGCGGTGACACCGATGAACAGGGTCTACCCCCGAAATACTCGAGCCAACGGTCACGATATATGAGGTCCTCCCAACTCCCTGAGTATCCCTACCTATTCAACGAATCCTCCAAGCTCACCGGTTGGCCCCGATTCCAAATTCAAATCTTATTATTTCACTTATTCAATTAGGCGGCGCCTCAGTCGAGTTATGCAACCCCCCAGTGCTTAACTCGGTAGAGAGGGGCAGTGTCCTTGAAAATTCAAATATTGAAATAATTGGCGGGAATTTTATTAGAGAAAGGGGGGAATCCCAGGTTAATTGATTCTAGATTTTTAGCGGTTATGTCAGCACTTTTTCAATTATTCCAATTAAACAGTTATGCTAATGAATTTAATTTGTTGAATTGATATCTGTGATTGTGTGTGTGGGATATATCACTCGATTATTTGGTAAGTATTATCGACACCCAATGATGACTACGATGATGGGGACACCGTTCGCTGCGAGTTCTTGTGGGATTCTGTCCACGAAATGCAGTTATCCCAGTGACTTGGGGGATGCGTCCTACAGAATGGGGCGGAAGGGAAAGTAAGGGGTGAAGGGGATGGCTGGTCAGGGGGTAGAGGGATGGTGGGGAGTTTTAGCCGAAGAGACGAGGGGGTGGTGGTTCACTTGGAAAACCATCCCCTGTCGATGTCAACCCCCTCTCGTCACTACCCCGGAGTCACTCGAGGACGAGGCTCATGCAGAAATTCACTGGTTGGTTCGCCTCACCTGTCTCCATGACAACAACCAATCCCAGCGTAGAAACCCCTCTTTTCGACTCATCCCCACGAGCAATATGGCGGCTATCCAATGGAAATTCCTCTGGAAAATAGCCTGCCAGCGATTTTACTACCCCCGAAACACCAGTTCTCTCTTCTCTCTCTCTCCCTCTCTCTTTCACCACCCGGTGAGATTTCTATTTTTTTTTTTTTTTCATTTTTTACTTTTTTCGTTGCATTTTTTTTTCAACTGTTTTGATGTTTTTTTTCTATTTGTTTTGGAGGTTTTTTTTTGCAGTTTTTGTCATGTCCTTCCTGTTTCAAGAGACTCTGGGCTGTTTTCTACTGGGAAAATCATTCTTTTTGTTTCAGTTTTGTCCTTCGGAGTGGAGCGAGAGGGGGAGGGAGAAGTGGTAAGAGGTTTAATTGTTTAAATTAATTTAACTGTCGATGGGAAGATTTTCGGGGAGAGTGACATGGATTTTTTTTTTTCTTTTCATGATTTTTATTCTGATAATTTTTATATGGACCCCACGTGTAGTTTCTGAGGCTTGAAGATACCCGAGACAAGATTGGATAATTTAATATACCGAAAAAAGGTAAAGAATTAGTAACAAAACTGGCCTCGTGACCGTGGTACAAAGGGGGAGAGACTCGTGCATTATTCTTCTTTGAGATTCACCAGAAACATAACGCCCACCGACGCACGCGTCAAGGGACTGTAATTTGCCCCCCTGAAGTGAAAAAGAAAAAGGTAACGCACGTGGATAAAAACCGGGCCAATTCAAAACCAAAAAACCACACGCGTTTTGAGGGTTTTTATTTATTCATTGTTGGGTGACATCTAATTGCTACTTTCCTCTGCTTTCACATTTTTCCCAGGGAGTCAAAGAGATTTTTCAATGCAGCCATTACTTCAATATCAACAGATATCCCATCGCAAAATTAAACTTGTCATTTTTTTTATTCATCATCAACAAGTCATTTTATTTATTCAATACTCCAGTAATTCTAGCAAAAATTCTGGAAATTCAATTGTAATTAATTATTATTATATATTATATATTATTATTGATATGATAATGATAAATTAAAAGTGAATATTATTGATAGGAATGGAATTAT